AATCTTCCCAGACTGAAACCAGGTCCCAGGGTCAGCCAGTCAACACACAGTGAATTCCTCAGGGAGGTGCCTGCCTCATCCTCTTATCTCTTCCCCGCCCTTCAGGAGATGAAAGAGGATGCTTCCCTCCCTGAGTCTGACCTTCATAATTCCATTCCATCACAGTATGTCAGTTCTAAAAAGGGAGTAAAATTGTAATCATGTCCAGATGTCATCAAAATGAAACTTGTTAGTGAGAGTCCAGCATATTGATCAATTTAATAGCACAATAAGAGACCAAAGAAGAGCCAGTTGATTCAGCTCTTCATTCAACTCCTCCTCCCACTTTCTCTCCAATGAACTATTCTAACTTGTAACATTGTCCAGTTGATTTCCATCTTCAGAGATAGGGTCCTCGACAGGCCTCAGCAATTCTTAAACTTGTCCTTGGGTCCAAATTACTTTTTAATTCTGCAGTTTTAATCCATCTTCAGTAGAACAATTTGAATTGAAATTCAATTTTTTTTTTCCATGATGGCACCACAGCAGGTGCATGGACTGTGGGCTCCTCCTTGCTGGTGGCTCTGTGTATATTATTAATGGCATGTGGAGGTGATTGGTGGTCCAAGACAATCCTGGGCTGGCAGAGATGGTTGTGTAGGCTGTTTGGGCTGACAGGGGAGATGAGAGGAGTGGTGGCACCAGTGCAGGTTGATAGAGCAGCGGCTGCTAGATTACAACACAGCCTTTTCAGTGTCTCCCTGGGCAGCAGACAGGTGGTGTGTCAGCAAGCAGAGTTCTTGCTGTAGAGGTTCTGCAGCATTGAAGTGGTGGTTGGGGAAACACAATGGCCCTGAGGATCAGCAGTCTTGATCTCATCTTACAAATGGTGCTGCACTGGGTTCTGAGAATGCAGTTGTGTGTTGGAGGAGACTGTAGGGAGGTGGCTGCCTGGTTCTGCCCTCCATTTTGGAACTGTGCAATGGGACAGGCCAGAGGTTGGCTGGGCCAGTGCACCAAAGTGTGATAGCAGTGGTGACAGTGCCTTGGCAAGAGGAGCCCTTGGTTGAACAGAAGGCTTTGATGGCCAGGTGATCAGAAGCAGTTGGAGCAGGAGAGCCAGCTTACATCCTGCAGCTGCCACATGGGAGACCAGCCATCTTAGATCACTTCCTGTTTGAATTATTGCCATGCACTCTACATGGGGCTGCTCTTGAAGGCCACACAGAAGTGACAACTTGTCTGGAATGCAGCAATGTGTGCAGTGTTGGGCACCCCTAGGTTTGTCTATATTACACCCAGTTGTGTGAGCTGCACTGACTCCCAGTATCCTTCTGGTTTCAATTCTAGGTGCTAGTTATCACCTTTAAAACCCTACCTGGCCCAGGACAAGGTCATCTGTGGGAGTGCCTCTCCCTGTGTGTATCTGCCCATCCCACCAGAATAGATAGGGTAAGTGTGCTCCAGGTCCCTCCCCTTAAATATTGCCATCTTGTGGGTCCTCAGAAGCATGCGTTCTCCACTGCACCCCCTGCCTTATGGAAAACCCTATCCTCCAAGATCTGACAAGCCCCCACCCTTCTAACCTGCAGGAAAGCACTTAAAAACTGGCTCTTCCCCCAAGCATTGGGATAGGTTAGAGTGGGAAGTTTGGAAAGAGATAAATTGTATCTTCCCATTGTGAGTAATGTGTATGATGCATGGGTGACAGCTGGGAAAGGAGGAAAGATCAGTAAGCCACAAATATCCATAAGGTTCAATCAACAGACTGACTGTACTATGTGTGTGGAAGAATATCAATGAATCAAGATAGGGAAGTGAATTTAAATATTTCCATTCCATTTCATCCAGAGTTCAAAATTATCAAAATGCTCACTACCTTCTAAACCCAGGACATGATGTCCAGCTCTCAAAGAAAGATGCTGTGACTATCAAAATCATCTTTTTGAGTCTATTAGAGCCATGGCACCTGATCAACCCAACTGCTGTAAAGTTCAGAAGGTCATCCAAGGACTGGAGGAATACCTTGGGATTTACCAAACCAACTTCTGAACTGCTCTCTGCTATCAACCCCTCTGCTATCAACCCAGTCCTTTGTTCTGAGTATGTTACTAATGTACATACTGAATTAAAGGAAGCAATTCTGCACAGGACAACTTGAGAGTTGGAAACTGTAGTGGAAACAGGTACCCACAGCTGGGAGAGGTTGGTAGCAGAAAAGAAAGTGGTAGCCTAAAAGTCCAGATGGATTGTAATGGCCTGTTAGCTTTAGAGAGTCAAAAACTCCAATCTAGTGTCTGTCCTAATAATAGATGAGGAAACGAACACTGGAAGTTGAGACTCCTAACACTGGCTGTTTTTACTGTAAGAAACCTTGACCTTGGAAAACTTACTGCCCAGAAAGTAGATGCAATATTGAAGTGCCAATTCCACACCTAGATCCCCAACAACACATTTTCAGACTTATATTACTCTCCTGCCACCACTTGAATGTGACCCTCTAGATGAAACCTTCAATCTTGCTCTGTTCAATTAGGACAGTTGGGACCCTCTTCCAGGAGCAAAGAATGCACTTTTCTCTTCTATTGGTACCACATATAGGTGTTTAACACTTCAGAAAGCATGCAAACGGAAGAAATTTGAATGTAGGCAAACCTCCTCCTGCTACACTCAGACAAGGCTGGCAGACAAGGGGTCATTACAGGAAGCAGCAAATGGATATATGTTCTTTTGGAAAGGGAAACCAAATCTATACTTGCCTTTGGGGTAGAGAGACATTGTGCTTCTTATTTCCTGAGCCTGCTAAAACACAGTTTGATCCTATGACCAAAAACATGCTTTTCTCTTCAGTGAACACACTGTAGCAAATTTATTGGAAAGGGACCAAGATGTAAGTCTGACACTAAAACGTATTGTACTTCAGATAGAGTGACTTTGAATTTGTCAGAAATTTCTTTGCCACAGATTTCCTGGTCCTGGTTACACAGCAGAAGACAGAAGGTCAGCGAGGTGGCCAACTGGAAGATCTTTTCAATTAACCTCCCTCTTTGTGGGTGACCACATCACACAATATGTACCTGAGAATTTCCAGTGTCTGACTTTTTTTCCAGGAAAAATACATAGGCAGCTTTGTTGAAATGAAAGGCTTCTCTGTATATGTTCTCCACTCCTTTTTACACATGGTAATGTGCATATCAATAAATCTGAATCAGTAAAGCCAAGCTTAACATTTGCATTTAAATGTTATATCTGAGTAAGTGAATGACTGCTGTGCATAGCTCATTGTTGTAACAAATCAAATAAAGAAGAAAAAAAATGCATAGATCTATAAAAAGAGCTAGTAACTTCTACATTCTCTTGTCCCCATACTGAAAGTTATCAATAAATCAATTTGTGGATTTATTTATTTATAATGTCTATATGGCCCCCTTCTTAAATACATAACTCTGGGCAGCTAGCCACCAATCTACAAAAAACCCAAAACTATAACTAAACAAAGTCAAAATAATAGAATACAAAGAAAACACCCAAAGCACCATATAACAAACTCATGAAGAAATACATCCTAATATTCCTGGGCTCCAACATGGAAGACAAGCGAGGTCTTGACAGACTTTCAGAAGTCAAGAAGGACTAGGTCCATCCACATATCAGGGGGCAGGTGGTTCCATAGGGCAGGACAATAACAGAAAAACTCAATGGAATTGAATTCCACTTTCCAGCTTAAATGTACACTGGGAAAAAAATCTGATATGTACACAAAAAGGGTTGGCGGTAAAGACACAGATTTTTAAATCATTCTTCTCATTAGCTGATGCTTATTATTCAATTCAGGTCTCATTACAATGATAAAACATTTGGGAAAGAAGATACACACCAGTAAGCCAGCACTGGAGGAAATCATGGAGAAGATCTCCACAGCCAGCATGTATTTTCCTCTGGTGCTTAGATACGTTGGAACAAAACATAGCCAAACACTGCAGAAGACCAACATGCTGAAGGTGATGAATTTGGCTTCATTGAAACTGT